AAAAATGGGAGGTGAAAGGGCCTCATAAGTGGAATAGCCTAGGGCCTCTTTTCATCTAAATCCGGCCCTGAAAACATGGAATGAATAACTCTTCTGTATTTCCGTCCCACCCCAACCTTGTAAGTATCAGGTTTGTTTGTTTATTTGTGTGGATACTGTGAGAGAAGAACAACATGTCAATTCAACTATTTTTGCAGCATCAACAAGTGAAAAGCTTTAATCGACATAAAGCTGCCAACATGTGTGGCAGAATAGACATTTTGTAATGTTAGGACACAAGACCCATGCCCTATATTTGAAATACTTGGCAGGAACATCGTGAAAATTAGATGACAACAGCAAGAGCTTCACAAACACAACAAGTTTAAACAGGATTCACGCAGTCTGGTGGTTTGAATTGCATAAGCATATTTTATAACCAAGGCCCCCCCAAAAAAAAAAATTAGAATCAAGTTCAATAAACAAGACAGGCTTGGCTGAAGAAACAAACAATTCATTTATATGATGGCAAAACACTGTTTTAAGAGATGGGCATTCAGTATGAAATGGAAAAACAACTGGGTTCATTTTCAGAGTTACATAATTACTAACGTTGCTTTATAAAATTAAGATACTGACCCATAAAACTAGTGCAACTCGTTGCAAATAAGTGGACGAAATTATTCGGGAGTGGAGACCTACCTTTTGAAATAAATTTATGCAAAAAAAAAAAACCAAATGCACTGAAGTTGCAATAAACAAAAAGAGAAACACTTAGATGCCTTTCAATGGGTATGGGATAGAAATTCCATCAACTCCTAGCCACTAATGCCAATCATTGAGACTAATGGATGCTGGCCCAGAATTTCAGATCTGTTTCTGAAGATGCTCCTTGTCCTAAAAAAAAACCTGTAGTCTAAACTGTAGCAATATGGGGGGAGGGACAGGGACCTAACAAAAGGAAGCATTAAAAAGTGAAGGTCAACCATTACGGATAAAACACAATTCACATACAACCCACTGTAAAACAAGGCTCTCTTAATGCTTGCTTTCAAGGGGTAAGGAGTAAGATCCAGGGGTGGGCTGCTACGGGTTCGCCCAGGTTTGAGAGAACCCATAGCTAACATTATGGCCAGTTCAGAGAACCTCCAAATCCCACCACTGGCTGGCCCCGCCCACCCTACCCATCTCTCCCACACTACCCCACCTCACCCAGGAGTCTCCATGCAGACCGTTTTGGATGTGAGGTAATTGCTGGCCCTGTGCGGAGACTGGGAGAGGGAGAAAACTGGACCTCATGGAAATTCTGGAAGGCCAGAAATGAGCCTATTTCCAGCCTCTGAAGGGCCGCCGGCGCCCACAGGAGGCAGTTTTCGCTCTCCCAGAGGCTCGAAAAAAGCCTCTGGAGCCCGGGGAAGGTGAAAATGCCCCCTTGCCCGCCGTGGTGCAGGAGGCAGACTAGCCCCACCCACCTTGGCCCCGCCCATACAGCAACCAGGCAGAAAACCCGTTGCTAAATTTTTTGAAGTCCAGCTCTGGTAAGATCCACTTACCAGCAGGGCAGGTAACAAATTATATTAACACCATTCTGTAATATCTGCTAAGGTTCTATTTTGCCTCCGTTTATTTCAGTTTTTTTTCAAACTTGGCAACTTTAAGGTGGGAAGACTTCAACTCCCAGAATTTCCCAGTCAGCCTCGCCATCTTAAAGTGGACAAGTTTGACAAACACTGGTTTATTTTATGGCTGCCTCAAGGGAGATGTGCAGTAGGTAGACTAAAACAGCTCTAGGAGCCAAGCTGCAAGTGTGCTCTGCACATTGTTGCTTTAGTTCACTGCACTTCAGGTCCTATGGGGTAAAGTCAGGGGTGAAATGCTACCGATTCACCTAAATCGGTAGTAAAAAAAAAATGCTACCGGTTCGTTGCAAACTGGTCTTCCCAATGAGCAGCTGTGACGCATGATTTATATTAGCTAGAATAATTGGATTTCCTGCTTTCTAGCTAATCTAAATCGCATGGCACAACGGATCCCCCCCCACTGTTGTACTTACCTTTGCAGGCGCACTCGGTAGCAAGCTCCGCCCACCCGCCCTGACATCATCACATCCTATTTTTGATGCTCTGCGCATGCACACGCTCACATTTGCAAACTGGTAACGATTTCACCCCTGGATAAAGTACAGCTATGAATGAAATGTTGAAAGAAAGAAAAAGATACAAGACTACAACCTTCTTCACCTTTGCTTCGTATTATTTACTTCATATTATTTCTGTTCTGCAGTTCCTGCCTACAAACAAGTTGGAGATGAAGATGTGTGGATACAAATTATTATTTTTTCTCCAAATACAAATTGCTCCCTTTGTGTTTCAGTTCTGCCCTCTTTTAACGTATGCTGAGAGGCAAAAAGTCTCCAATCAACATACATGAAACATACTCAAATCTATATTCTTCATTGGGTGATCCTCCAAATTACATGAGTGCTAACCTAGAGGGAACCTTTCCACAAGCACATATAGAAGTCAAATTTTTATCTACAGTCTTCTGGACAAGATATTTTATTTTGTCCAGAGATGAGAGTCTTCCCCCCCCTCCCCTGAACTCCCCATTAGTCTTCCAAATTGTGTAAATGAAGCTATCAAAATTAACTGTCTGGTTTGTCCGTGAGACAGCATTTACAGTCTTCATTTTACAAGCAGCAAAAATAGAACTCACTTTGCAAAAATGGAAAATATTCGTGGAGGCTCAAAACAAGGACATTTCTTCACCCACTTCTGAAGCCCTTATTACTTTAAATGAGATGGATGGCTGTAAAAGTTTTTGGGGAGGAAAAATAAATATTTATACTGGATCCCTTGGCCTAGTTTTGCACCGGCCTTACATCTGGGAAAATAATAGGTTGCAGTGTTTTTTTGCAATAGCAAACAATTTCAATAATAAACCCTGGGGAAATGATGAATGCCATTATTCATAAGGTAAATGTTCCTCTCGCACATATGTGCTAGTCATTCCCGACTCTAGGGGGCGGTGCTCATCTCTGTTTCAAAGCCGAAGAGCCAGCGCTGTCGGAAGACATCTCAGTAGTCATGTGGCTGGCATGACTAAACGCCGAAGGCCCACGGAACACTGTTACCTTCCCACCAAAGGTGGTCCCTATTTTTCTACTTGCATTTTTACATGCTTTCGAACTGCTAGGTTGGCAGAAGCTGGGACAAGTAACGAGAGCTCATTCCATTACGTGCTGCTAAAGATTTGGACCGCCGAACTGCCAACCTTTCTGATCAACAAGTTCAGCTACTGAGCCACTGAGCCACCGTGTCATTATTAATACATAGAGATAAAGCCTTTGGATCACTGGTGGGTTTCAAAAATTTTTAGAACCTTTTCTGTAGGTGTGGCCTACTTTGTGGGAGTGGCTTGCCGGCCATGTGACTGGGTGGGAGTGGTTTGGTGGTCATATGACTGGGTGGGCATGGCCAGCTTATAAAATATGGTGAAACTCACTTAACAACGCTCTTGCTTAGCAACCAAAATGTTGGCTCAGAAACTCTGGCATTTGAAGCACGCAAGTTTTAAAGCTGTCAAGTTACAAGACCCTTGCACCTCTAACCCTTTAGAAAAAAAAACCCCAGGGATGTTCAAACTTGACAGCTTTAAGACTTGTGGACTTCAACTCCCAGAATTCCTCCTCTCGCTTTCATCTTGATAATGCGCGGACGGGCGGGGGGAGGGAGCTGGAACTGGTTCTAAACGGCACTGTAGATTTGTGGAACCTCTTCTATAGAAGAGGTTAGAACTGGCAGGAACCCATCCCTGCTTTGGATGCCAAATGGTTAATACATGCCCAAATTAAATTACATCCTTGTAGCTTTATTCCCATTTCTCTGGTCTCTGGTTGTTGTTTTTTTAACTGTCCTCTCTGCAAACTCTCTCTGAGGGATACCTTTAAATCCATTACAGGACGAGAAGTGCCCAGAGCTGCCGACTGAGTTTGAGCGTGATAATACAACGTCTAGCATTTTGTATGGGGCTAGAAGCAGCAACAATAAATCAGGCCTTGAGTCTCTGCGCTATTACGTAAGTATTATACAAGGGATTATTTTTTCTACTGGAATTGCCAAATTGAACTCAAATGTCTTATGACTTTCATTCTTCCCATATCGTTAAGCTATTGGAAGCATGACACTTTCCAATATGCTTGCCAAAAGAAACTAATTTAATAAGGACTTTCCTCTATTTAAACCCGTTTTATATCATTAATATCTCAAATAGGGAGTATATTCTAAGTGCAGGAGATGCCAAAAACTGGTACCTCCTATAGATACATATTTTTCCTCTACAATTGTGCTATCGCTCCTCTCAAAAGAATTGGGATGCAATCCCAAATCCTAAGGCTTGTATATAGTGATCCAAACTCAGTCTTAGTTCTGAATAAAAATATTTAAGATTAGACTGCAAAGTTATGCTGCATCATCTTATTAAGGAAGGATCCCATCAGATTGAACTGATGAATTTAATTTATTTTACTTTAGGGTATTGTGCAATAGCCATCATTTTTCCAAAACTTTATTAAATTTCAGTAAAATATAAAATTAAAAAAAGCAAATTAAAAAGGAGGGAAGGAGAGGGAAAAAGCAAAATTACAGACAAACAGGAGGAAAAGCTATAAAAAAACCTTCAGACTTTCTTCAGTACAGATAAACATATAAAAATCAATAATTCTTTGAATTCAAATAAACCATAATAGATATAACAATGCATCTATCATCATAAGCAAGTTATCAAACCCCAAGATTAAAATTTCATTTCTTTCAGTTTCAAATTTAAAAAAATATATCCAAGAGTGGTTTTCAGACAAAAACAAAGCTAGACAAAGTCTCTTTTTTAATCAAAGCAGTCAATTTCACCATTTCTACCAACTCTATTAATTTTACCATCCATCCTTCCGTTTTAGATATATGGAAGTTCTTCCATCTCCAAGTATGGAGAAGCCTTGCTGCTGTTGCCATATATAACAGCAATGTCCCGTGGTTTTTTTTTTCAACCTGTCCATCAAACTAGAGGTGGGTTTCTCCCGGTTTGGACTGGTGGTGGCAATTGGATGTGGGTCGTCGAACCAGTACTGATGGCTGGCTGGCCACGCCCCTGAACGGGCTCACTCCGACCTTCGGCCTGCCTCACCTTTGCCACATGCATCCACAGAACTGCCTCCTCCTGTCTACACACAGGTAAGTATTTGCGCTAGCCTAGCCCTCCCCTCCCCACCAGCCAGCATCTCCCAAAGCCGCTGGCATTGCAGCCCCCCCTCCCCTTGGAGCTCCAAATGGCGGGCGGGGTGGTGGGAGTGAGCACTCAGCACTTTTTCCACTGGTGGGAAAAAATTCTGAGAGGGATCCTCGCTCACCTTTCACCTGCTCAGTTGGGCAGCTGGCTGGGAAAGTGGCGGGTGAGCAGCCGGGACTGTCTGGTATGGGCAGTGGCAGCAAGTGGTAAGGGAAGCAGGTCTTGGGAGAGACCTTCCCAACGCCTCCAGAAAGCCCTTGCGGGGAGAGAGGAGGTGGGCTGGTTTGAACACAGGCAGACGGTTTGTGGCTGGTGCCTCCTTCGTCCTTGGCAGTGGGGGCTGCTTTATCACGTGCCTCCTTCCTCACTCACCTGCTATCGCCGGGGTGCCGCCAGGGCAAGTGAGGGAAGGAGAGGGGCCAGAGAAAGAAAGAAAGAAAGAAAGAAAGAAAGAAAGAAAGAAAGAAAGAAAGAAAGAAAGAAAGAAAGAAAGAAGGCATGTGATAAAGCAGCCCCTGCCACCAAGGGTAAAGGGGAACACCCCAACGAGTGAGGGAGGCGCCAGCCACAGACTGCCCACCCACATTCAAACCAGCCCATCACCTCTCTCCCCGCACAGGTTCTCTGGAGCGGGAGGGAAGATCTCTCCCAAGATTGGCTTCTTTCCTTCCCTCCTGCAGCGTCAGTCCGTAGGGGGAGGGCACAGACCATTTGGCGGCAGTGGGAAAAGCGGGTTTCTTTGCCAGCCTCCCAGCTGGCAAAACAGAAATTTTCACCCGTTTGGTGGGAGTGGCTAAGTGGGGAAGATGTGACTGAGTGGGCGTGGGCATGAGTGATATCAAGTTGGCCACGCCCACTCAGTCACATGCCCCCCCTAGCCACACTCACAGAACCTGTAGTAAAAAAGTTTGAAAACCACTCCTGCATGAAACAAAAAAAAAAGATCCCTGGCTTCAGTTGTACCTTCCAATTTAAAAATTCACTGAATTTTTAAATNCCGCCCCCCCTTGCCTCTAGTGACTGCACGTCCCTTATTTAGATTATTACATTGCCTTACTCTTACACTCATTTGATACCATATAATTCCTTAATCTGCAGAGTTATTTATGCATATGATCTGGTATACTCCTCTGTAGATTTAATTGTTTTAATGTACATTTAATTGTTTTAAATGCTTTGCCCCCCCCCCTTTTTTGGGGGGGAGCAATGTGCTCTGTAAAGCCATGAACTGCTTTTCACAAGTTTCCCTTCACTTTCAGAGCGGTGGGTTTAGTTAAACGCAACCCTTGTGCAAACAGTCACCTTCAGGGCTTCCTCACCTGGCCTTGCCACTCTGTGATGTTCACCAGGATGATGCTCTCAGGCAACTGCTCATCTGAAACCAGGATCTGGTTGAGCTGATCATACACCGATTTCCGGGGCACCTGCAGCAGCAATGGAAAAACACTTTCAGGACAAACGTCTATGGAGATTCTCAGTCATCCAAGTCATGGTTGTCCCAAAGGTGCTTTTTTTTTAAAGAGGCAACTGGACTTTCTGGTTTTTCTTTGAAGATGTTTCAATCAGACTCTTGGAGGAAAAGTGAAATGTCTTGAAAGAAAAATCAGAAAGTCCAATTGCCTCTTGAAAAAGCCCCCTTGGGGAAGATATGGAACCCAGATGACACACCATTAAGTAGAAAAGTGGGGGGGGGAATAGGGAAGAAAATAACAATATATAAGTATATATTCAAAAGTAAGGTACAAAGTGGAGGGAGACCATAATCAGGATAGATTTGAGAAGGAAAGGGAACAAGAAATGATATTTAATTATTTTTGGGGTTGCAGAAATACCACGCCAAGAAAATAAAAATTAAGAGCTGGAAGAGACACCTATAACAATAGAAAAAGAAAGGACGAGAGGAGGAGAGGAGGGAAGGAAGGTAGAGGTGAGGAGAGGAAGATGGAAGGGAAAAGGAGAGAAGGAGAGAGGGTAGGAAGGGGAAGAGGAAGAGAGGAATAGGGGAGAGGTAAGGGAAGAAGGAAGGGAAAGGAGAGAGGTAAGGGAAGAAGGAAGGGAAAGGAGAGAGGAAGGAAGAAAGTAGAGAATGGAGGGAGGGAGGGAGAAAAGAAAGGAAAAGGAAGGTGGTGTCAAAACAGGCGAGGGATGATAAACAAAGCAAACCAAATGGTAAGCTATAACCCTGTAAATGGAATGACAAATGTATAAGAACGATGAATGTAAAAAAGAATAACAACTATGTGAATGTATACCTATAATTGTATATAGAGAAGAAAAATAAAAAAAAAACTTTTCAAAAGAGAAAAAGCCCCCTTGGGACAACCACGTCAAGGACAGTTCCCATCCCTGCATCTTCAAAGACCAGAAAGGTAACAGAGACTTTGGCTGTCTTGGGAAAGCTCCAAATGTCTCTATTGCTTTGATTTTGTTTCTCCACTCCCCATTTAAGGCATTTCTCTCCCTCTCCCTCCCTTCCCATCCCGGTGGCAAGAAAGAGCCTTTCTCGCACCACAAGCCAGCACCCCGCTCACCACTGCCTCACCTGGCTGTTCTGCCGGGAATCTGGGGAGCCCTCACTGTCCAGGCTACCGGTTCGGTCACTGTGGCCCTTCGAGTTTTGCCGATCCTTGACTGACATACTGCGAGGTCGCCAGAGCTGCTTGTTCTCAGCTTTGCTGAAAGACAAACAGCAGGCGATCAGCACAGGTTGGGGGAAGGACAGCCAGGCCTCAGGTGCCCAAAGGAAGTCCCTGCGGCGCTACTGAGCAAATGCCGTGAGCAGCCAGAGCTTCTAAGTCATCAATGGCTGTCAAGACCCAAAGGTAAAGACTGAAGAGGGGGAGGGGAGGCTAAGAGGTTCACACTTGCAATAGGGATTAATTGGACATTATAAACAACAATACTGTTTGTCAAAGTCTATAAAAATCTGACCAAGTGTACCACCACCTATGCTTTGATTATTTATATGCGATGCCAATTTAGAGTTGAAAGGGTTATCTGGGAAAGCATCTTAGGTTTTTGAAGTATTTATTGATTCAATTGCCTCAAGAAATCTTAGGCCAAGAATCCATGCCTGAGCCACAGCAGATGTAGTGGGTGTCTCTACTTGAATATTGGCACCAGGGTGGAAAAGAACCTTTTTTATACTCTTAAAAACCTCCTCTGCATGGCCAACATAGCTGCTACCTAGGCAAGATCAGCTGCCCGTTGCCGACGAGACCTTTCTTACCTGGGGGAAACAGTGGCTGGGAACTCCGGCTTGCTTACATTGCTCAGTTGGGCAAGCCTGTCCATGCTGCTCTCCTTCAACACCGTCTCAGCTGCTCCTCCTGGACAGGAATCGTTTGCCTCCAGCTCCTGAGATCATGTGGTGATTATATTTCCAACATGCCCAATAACCAAAGAAATGACGATGCACAGAAAGCATTGGAAAGTTTGTTTGTGGATGTGTTTTGCTTTGGAGCCCCAGAAGAATGTCAAATGGAATGGCTTGATTGGCATGCCTCTTACCCACCGGTTACAACCTCTTCCTACACCTCAATTCACTAGTCCACATTTCTATTCCCACTGCTACTACTACATCATTACGGCATCTCTGTAGCTCACCCCAGCCAAACAGAGAGAAGCAGAAAGAATGCTAACAGGAAGGTTGAATTATGAGTTGTTCCATAACTTTCAAAAAAGAGCCAAATTTAATTTCCATGATTCTAGAACACTGTTTCTCAACCTTGGCGACTTTAAGTCCTGTGGACTTCAACTCCCAGAATTCCCCAGCCAGGCTAGGGGAATGTTGCCAAGGTTGAGAAACACTGTTCTAGAAGGTGGGGAGAAAATCCTCAACTGTGCCTGCAAAGCTGCAAGTAGTCCTTGACTTAACAACCGCAACTGTTAACCAGAATCTTAGTTGTTGAGCAAAGCAGTTGTCAAAGTGAGATGTCACCTGACTGCTTCACTCAATGACCACAATTCTGGCATTCCCGAGTGAGGTCGCTAAGCAATCTCACAGATCATAAAGCAGAGGGAATCCCATATAAGGAGCACAGGGTGTCTCGGAGGAGGGGAGACCTTAGGTGTCCTGGCATCTCTCTGCTCAGGAACTGAAAATCCTCCTTGCCAAAAATCAAGCAGGATTTTCAGCCCCTGAGCAGAGAGATGCTCACATGCAGCTTTACCATGTCTCTCAAGGCCTTCCTCCCTCGGCCCTTATGCTCCTTGCGTTACTGCACTTCCTCTCTGTTCAGGGGCTGAAATCCCTACTTGGATTTTGGTTCCCTTTGTCTCTGGGGGCTGGTTGAAAGAGCTCCCTGCAGAAGGATTTCAATTCCATGTCTGCTTGGATTTCAGTAGAGTCTCCCTTTGGATTTGGATGTGGATTTCAACAATCCAAGCAAACATGGAGCTGAAATCCTTTGGCAGCAAACGTGGAGCTGAAATCCTTTGGCAGGGAGCTCTTTCAGCCAATCCTCAGAGATGAGAAAGAGTCCTCTTAGCAGGCTTGCAGGTTTTCCCGCACTGACTTTCTGGGGAAGACTGCAAATGGCAGTCATAGGATTCTTTGTAAGTGCAAACTGGTTGTTGAGAAGCCAGATGACTCTCACGAGACTGGTAGCGCAATATTCTGCAAAAATGCTTTACAGGCCACACGGCATCCTTTCCAAAACCATCATTAATTCAAACCATCATTAAGCAAGCGGTCGTAAGTCAAGGACTACCTGTACAAATAAAGTATGTGATTCCACTGTGCATTGAGATGGTGGGATGAATCAAGCACTGAACTGGCCAGCAGAATGTAGCCCTTGAGAACACAGCATCAACCCAACAGAGGTATGGACAACCGTTGTGTTTTCAAAACTCCCTTCATCATGGCGCTTCCTCAATTCCCCTCATTCCACCCACCACTACTCCAGTAGGTAGAAATGCCAGCAAGAGCTACAAAGATTTCAGTACCCACAGAGACTGTGGATGCTTACAGAGTAGAAGAATGCACAGGGTACTCTTCTTCATGCGAATGCAGTATTGGGAGTAGTACCCAGAATTTACAGAGTGGGTGACTAGTGGATCTAGCACTGATAAAGGAAGATTAATGCTAGAATTTCCCCAAAGATTGCCAATGTATCTCAAGGGCTCCTTGAGTCATTTTCTCCCACCACCTCTAAAGCTGCTGCTCACACAGACATTAGAACAGATTGAAGCAGGAAGATGCTCAGACCAACCACTTACAAACGCTTCGTTTAGGGAAGATCTCAGTTTACTGCTCTAAAAATTCCCCAAATAGTTTGTCTAGTCCCCATACATGTGGTTGCTCATGAGAAGCAATATAACAAATCTCCCAGAGGAAGCATCTCTTTGTTGTGAGCTAATGAGCTTGATGGGTCAAAGCAAAAAAAAACACTGCTGTTGTGGGACCACAGGCAGAAGGGCCCCATGAGTATAAGTGGCAACGGTCGGGCACATCTACACAGCGAGCGCCAACCAGAATCCCTGCAGCAGGAGAGATGGCAAGTTTGTTTTATCTTACCGTGTTTTCCCGAAAATAAGACAGGGTTTTATTTTCTCTTGACCCCCAAAATAAGCATTTGGCCTTATTTTCGGGGAGGTCTTGTTATTTTTGAGGTGCAGAAGGCGGCGAGCGT